GTTATTAACCTTCTCATGATTGTTATGGTTTGCCAGGGTTTTGCTGGACCTTGCGTCCCATGCCAAGAACACCGATCCTGAATATCAATGAACCCTGACCAGCCCAGGCCTCAGGCTACAATGCGCTCGCGCCACTGGCAACTGTCATCTTCAACATCCTCGGACTCCATTTGCTTCAATATTTTCAATGTGGTGCATCTGCATTCATCTCTGCCCTGTACAACTTGCAGCGAAGTTCAGGAACGGGATGGAACGGGTATCAAAGGAAAGGAGCCGTTTTCAGAGGGTAGGCCACCTGTCTGTGTGTTCGTGTAGGCTGATTCAAGCAGCCTACAGCTGGGTTTGGGGGCGAAGTGAGACTTAAACGGTTCTTGCAGTACCCAGTTCCGTGGAATTCAGGAGCTTGCCTGAGGCAATGCTGACCAGTCTGTAGACCAGCACTGCACCCGGGGGAGCCTGTTCGGATCCCGACGGCAGCATAATCATGTTCGGATAGCAGGAACCGCGGATTCAGATATTAATAGGCACTAAGCCCTAAAACCTTAAACCGTCTACCCTCTGAACCCTGCACTCCCGAATTCGCACACAAGATGCGGCTCGGCCACGAAGAGAAGCAGCGACTCATTGGCTGGTCCTCGTCGCACTTGCAACAAAGAGGGGGGGCCTTAGTGGCATTAGTAGCTAGCACTTTGTACGGAAATCAAAATCTCTTTATGCAAAATCTCTGCGAACATAGGGCTTACGAAGACCCGAAATCATCCGAAATCGAAGTATTCGGGGTCTGTTCACAGGCAAAGCAAGAACAAGAAGCAGTCGCTTGAAAGGCTCAGTCTGTGCTCTGACGGGTGCAGCCGTTTCTTCGCTCCAGAGTTCTTCGCGCCCACTTCGAACACTGCCCCAAATCTCCTGATGGCTGCCTTCGCAGGGGCCTCGGGCCTGAGAGGATCTTTCGAAGTCCCCCAATTAAACTGAGAAGCTCTGGTTAAGCCTTCAATCCTGAGCCCCCTCAACCGTGCTCTTTCTTCGTCAACTCTCCCTAAAACCTAAACCCATGTAACCCCTGAAGCCGCTTCTAAATTCTAAAGCATCCTTCAACCCTAAACTTTTCAAGACTCCTGCAACCCCTTGTGAACCCTCAACCCCTGAACCCTAAGCCCTAAACCCCTCAACCCCTTAACATGGTTGTAATCGGGCGGTTCGGTCGATACCGATACGTATGCGGTATTTAGCGGTTTTTGTATTGCCAGTATTGGTTTCGGTTCGGTTCGGTAGCGATACGCCATACGGAATAACCCGCCACAACAGCCACATCCCCCATCAGCCACACCAGCCACACCAGCCACACCAGCCACACCAGCAGCCACACCCCACCAGCCACACCAGCCACACAGACCAGACCACACAGGCCCCCGCCAGAGACACAGGCACACCGGACACACACAGCCACCAGCCACGCCGCTAGGTATTGCTGTTCGCGGTGCGGTGAGGTTCGATACCAGCCCTCCAACCCCTCCAGCCCTCCATCCCTCTAGCCCCTTAAAGCGGAACCCTTTTAGAACCCTTGAAAAGAAGGAGTCTCCCCTATCTAGAACCCCTACAGAGGAGCCTCTAAAGGAGCCCTTGGCCCAAGGCGCTCCTCTGGACCTTGGCTCTGGGAGTCCTCGCGGCCGCTGAGCTCGCGACCCAGGGGGTCGAGGTTTTCAGTGCTTTTGGGCTTTTTTTGTTGCAATATTGTTCGGGTTTTTTGAGGGTTTGTTTTCGGGGTGCAGAGGAACTCCATCCACTCCATCAATCAAGGTGCATTCTAACCTAAGCCTAAACCCCCAAACCCCGAAGTGTTTGTAAGTGAATCTTCCCTCGGGGTTGGCTCGGATTTCCACAGTGTGCTGTGGTTTGGGTCTCGGGTCTCCCGTTTCGTCCGTAGTGTTTCGGAGGTGGTGGTCTGCCACTAAACAGTCATAGAATCCGTACACTCCGAGAAGCCCTGAATCCATGAGCAAGCCTGGAAGCCTATCTGCAAGTTCATGCTTTCGGGGGGGGCCTAGAACGCCTAGAGTCCACGGAGTCTCAGCGAAGGTGCTCCAAAGCTTCCGCTCATCCCAACGCCTTTTGATTCCCTACCCCCGAGCGAACCCTGGCGGCCGGAAAGACTCGACCTTAAGCGGTCCGTGATATCAATAGCCCTGGAGGTGTCACTCCCAAAACCCTCTGAAGCCGCAACCCTGAGCCCTAAGATCTGAACCTCCAGGCCTCGACTTGAGAGGCTTGCAGCTTGAACCTTTTGATCCCGAACCTGCAACATCAAGCCATGCAGTGGAGCATCCCCCTGGCCCCAGCCCATGGTGAGTCCTGCTTTCATGGCTGCATGTCATGGACGGTTCAAGGGTTCGTAGGCGTGAGTGTCGTTCGATCAGGAGAGAAACTGCTCAATCCTGAATCCGAAAGCCCCTTAGGAGCACATCAGTTCCTGTCAGCCAAGGCTGGGCAGCCCTAAACCCCAAACCCCGAACCAGACATTTAACTCGGCCCATGAGCAAACAACTGTTTGTAGCAGCAGTGAGACAAGACCCTACGAATCCTTAGTCGAAGACCTTCGTTGCTCGCTCACAAGATAAAGGAACCGCACAGACAGCTCGCAGCCACACGCCCAAAAGCTTCAAACCTGAACACTATACATCGAAAATCTTTCAATCAACCCCAACACCCAAACCCAAAACCTCTACACCCAAGACCACACAACCCCAAACCCAAAATAACTCAAAACAACCCTATGCCAGAAAAGGCCCTAAGACTTAAGCCGTGAGCGCTGAATCACAAGCCTCCCTAGGCCGGCCGTTTCGGAGCTGGATGCGAGCAAGGTCCCCGCCGGGATTCAAAGTACTTCGTGGGGTTTGGGGTGTCGAGGGATTTGGGGTTTGGGGGTTTCTGGGCAGGATTTAGGGTTTAGGGTTCGGTTTTTGTTAGCCGTATAGGCCAAGCCATTCGGGATTGGGGTGTTGGTGGGTTTCACAGACGGTTTGGCGTCTTTTGATGCTTGCTGAGAGAAGATGACGCGGAGGGTTCTCGGGATTTAGGGTTGTTTAGGGTTGTTTAGGGTTGTTTAGGGTTGTTTGGTGTTGTTCAGGGCTTCAGGAGTGTAGGGGTTTAGGGTTTTAGGGTTTCGAGTGTCGGGTTCTAGGGGGGTTCCTACTGGGTAGGGTGCTTTTCTATGTGCCAAGGCAGGAGGGCTGTTGGGGACTTTTCTGGTTGGGTTTCACGGCCGTTTTGTTGGGATCTTTTGGTGCTGTTGCATGTTCTCTGAGGGCTCCGGCCTTTTCCAGATTGCGCCAAGGGTTTTCGGTAGTTGTTGGCGTTGAAGGGCTTTGGGGGATATTGCGGTCTTGGGATGTGGGGCTTTCCTCAAATGTCACAGGGAAGCTTCTGGTTCAGGGCTTGGGTCTCGGGTTTTTTTTTGGAGGCCTGCTGTCGGACAGCAGGCCCTGAGAGACTTGTGAGCCACCGAAATCTGTCGAGCCCCGAGTCCCCCCCAAAAGCCCTCAAACCCTAAAATCCTTCAAGCTCCTAGACTTCAGGGTTTAGGGAGTTTAGGGCTCAGGATTTAGGGCTTTGCTGGAAATTTGACAGGGACTGCAGCCTAAAGAGCCTCCTGATCAGCCGTGGCAGCGCAGTACTTCGTGTCGGTAGCCGGGTCATAAGCAGGGCCAGTCCCTCCGACAAGTGGCAGCGGCGCTCTTTTATGCCATGCTCTTCCTGCCCTCGCCTCGTGCGCCAGGGCCGGCAACTTACTGTGGTGAGGGTGAGAACCTGCCCTACTTCCCGATTGCTCCGGCCTCAGCTGTGAAGGACGTGCAGTTTCCAAGCCTTTCCTCCATGTTCCGTTTGTTGATGATCGAGTCTCAGAATGCACTGCTGCTCATGATGCTACTGATACCACTGCTGCTGTTGTTGCTGCAGTCGCTTCTGGTAGTGGTGGTGGCGGTGGTGGTGGTGGTCGTGGTGGTGGTGGTGGTGGTGGTGGTCGTGGTGGTGGTGGTGGTGGTGGTGGTGGTGTGGTTTGAGGGTCGCCTGCAAGAAAAGTGTGAATGGATTTGGCGTATGCAGGGAGTGCGTGGGCTACCACCGCTCATGACTGTAGATGGAAGTGCTGCGAGGTCATTGCAAGCGTTCTGAGCCTGTTTTGATGGCTTCGGCTGTGTTCTCATCATTGTCACTTGACTAGTGCGACTCATAGCCTCATAGCATAGCAATTGTGACAGTTGACGTTTATGATTATCATGGACAGCTTCTGCGTGCGATCATCATTTTAATGCCAGTGGTCGGTCCTGTGCCCGGTCTGTCTCGGGATATACGCATACAGCGAGGGCGCACAGGCACGGAAGGTGATGCACGGGTTGTTTCTTTCAGAGCCCCCCGGCGGTATCACCAGGAGGGTTTTGCTACTTCTAGGGGTGTGGGTCGATTGCCTCCTGCTTGAAGTGCTTGCAGGGGGGGCGAGCTTCCCATCCCCCTCATCGGGACGATCTCTCGGGCGCTGCCAGAGCGTGGCGCCCAGGTAGAGGACAGAGGTGTACGAGCAGAAGACTAGCTAACAGCAGAAGTCGTCTGAATTGGTGATGGAGGCAGCACTTTGCGGACAGAGTCTTTCGAAGGCTTCCCAAACAATTCTGTGCAAATCTGAACTCAGGATAGAAAAACTCGCCCATGAAGAAGGAAGAAGAGCTCTGCAGCAAGGGGCCCTAAACCCTACCGCCCAGGCCAGAGGCATTGCGTCCGAGGCCAGAGCCGCTCGGGAATCTCTGCGTGAATTTCGTGTGTGGCAGATCTGAGTGCAGGGACTTCTGGGCCGAGGGTTTCAGCCCCGAATGCTCAAAGCCGCTTGGGAAATAAACCTAAGAGCACTGCTCTTGTGATCTCTTTGGCTTGTCCTGCGAGAAGTGTCCCGGCTTGTAGGATCAAGCTTCCTTTTTTCTGGCCACTCCGCACATGCCAGGTTCGAAGCCATGGAGCGGCAGATGCGCTCGGTTCCGGGCTGGCAGCCGCTGGAGGAGCCCCAGGCAGGAGTCTTTGCCGGAGACCAGTTTGGAGGTGCTCCCAATGAGGTAGCTGCCGTCAAAGCGTGCGCCCGTCGCAGGCGGTGCTGCCCACCGCCCTCGACATGCCGGAGGACGCGGCTTTGGCGGCGCGTCGAATCGACGCGCTCATCATCGGCGTCCTCACCGTCGGCCCGGGCACTCAGGTTGTCTCAGGCTGGGGGCATGTCGTGTTCAGGGCATGTCGGATCACAAGGAAGGCAAGAGGCGCTGTGTGTGTCAAGTAGACATGTACCATGAGTGACGGCGGTCCATGCAGTGGACAGCGAGCAGGGCTACCTCCCTACCTAAAGAAGCTGCGCATCAAGGCGGGAAACCAGGTCTGACCCCCCCCCCCTTCGTGCCTGCAATTCTCGCGACACGTGTATAGTCCATCATCAGAGCAAGAAGACATGGGATGGCGAAGGACTAGGCCGAAGACCCCGAGTGGATTTATTGGCACCTCAACACCAGGCTTGGGTCAGGGTCAGCCCACCAGACATCGGAATCTTCGGGACCTTGGCGATGGCATCGAAAGACTGCATATCATGACTTTGGCAACGTGTTTTCTCTCTGTGCGTGTGTGTGTGTGTGTGTTGGCTTTTCCAGCCGGCAGTCTCTCGCAGCTTGGCCACGGATGGATTTTGGGTGCGTGATGCGAACATGTATGTGGGCGCTGCGTCTTGCGACTGTACAATTTCCGGGCTCACAGCTTTTCAGCACTTGGCATCGAAGGGTCATGTCGGTGGGCAGCGCAGCGCATGAAAGCGGAGTGAGCTATCGCAGATTGTAAGGTGAGAGGCTTCTGTTTAGGCACCGAGCTAGGGTAGAATGTGGGTGGTAGAGGCGGGTCCTGCTTGAGGCCTGGCCGTCGTGGCGGCAACCATGCCAGTGGCGTTGGTCTTATTGGCACCCGCGGGTGGATCTTCGAGAGTGCCACGCACCAAGAGGTGGCCACAGGCCACAGGTAGCAGAAATTGGAAGTCTACGATGCAAGACGCTTTTGGGCCCGAGCTGTTCTGTTAATTTGCGTTGTTCTGGCTGCTGTTAGGCGCAACGGTTCGGCTTGAGCTCTGAGGTCAAAAGAAGACCACGACTACACCAGTCTCTCAACCGTCGAAGAGGGAGCAGGAGAGCTGGGCACCGTGGGATGCCTCTCGCTTGGTGTCCTCTTCAATTACTCCCGCTCTCGGCAGGCGAAGTGGCACAGGAGCAGAAGGACGAGGAGGAGTTCGAGATGCAGCTGGGGCCACTTAAGACCCTGGTCTTTGCAGTGCGGGTCTCGTCCTGGAAGTGCCGGATGGCAGCATATCAAAAGCCGTTCCCTTTCAGGTCTATTATGTCTGCAATATACTCTTCTTGTTGGCACCGGGCTCGGCGGACCCGTCAACGACCCCGTCGTGCGCCTTCTTGGTGTTGGCCCTGCCTTAAGGCTCTGACGTCCTGGTCCAAAGCGGAGAATCTGATGCTGGGCGGGGCAGGGCTGGACTGGGAGGTCATCTGGCTCTGGTTGGTTGCCCGGGGCCCGGTGCCGTCCACCTCCCGGCGAGATTTGTTGAGCCTTTCAGAGTTTCAGGTCGTTCTTGCTACGGACGTGGTGGGGTACCTTTTCCGCGCGGTGCAGGCGACCTGCCTGGGCCGGACCAAGGCCGCAGGGCTGTCGCAGTCAGTCTTCCCGGCTGCAGGCGGCGTGGATGAAGCGCCAGATCAGTGTCACAGACCCTGCGCTCTCCATCGTCATGAGTGTGCCGGCCTCAGACCGTGGCGGTAGGCGGATGCTTGAGAAATCTACAGAGACTTGAATGCCGCACTCAGGTCTTTCCCGTTCTGGGGCCGAGGGTGGACTTGCTCAAGGACGGACCACCCCGGCTTTGCGTGTGCTCTTCCCTGTGCTCTCTCGGCCTCGGGCCATCAGCGCTCGCAGGATTGTCTGTTTGCTGGCGCCGTGTTTCAGCTCGCGGCCTGCCAAGCGGACGACTCATTGAGACGCACCGCAGGCCAGTCTCCTGTCGCTCTTCGCAGAGTGGAGGAATCCCAGGTTTTGCAAGTATGAATCGTGTACCAGAAAATACAGCCATTCAATCCTGATCTTAGTTTATAGGGGATGCCGATGCTGTAGGAGGTCTCGAGCAGCTTTGTACTTTCCGTCAGGCTTCTTGGTTGGGAACGCAGCCCTCCTCACCATTTTCCTGCCGGCACCGGCCTTGCATGGCCCTTACTTCTATGCGTGGTGCAGATGTGTAGAGCCAGAAATGCCGAAAGGTGCTTGTCCAGAAAGGTGGATGCAGAATGACGACGCATTCGTGCTTATATCGGTCCGTGCCTCGTGCAAGGTTCTGGTTCGCAACGACCAGGAGCGCGGCAAGTGCACATTGAAACACTTGCCTGAAGCATCACGGCCAGGGGGTGGGGTCAGTTTGTTTTCTCCTTCGCAGCATAGTCTTTATCAAAGCCAAGGAGCTATCTTTCGAAGCTCCATAATTAAGTCAGAAATCCTTCTGGAACTTGTCGGATGCCTTGGGCTATCTTGGGCTTGACAGCTGCGTTAGGAGGGACCTTGCGGCTGAGTTTTGGCCGGCCTTGGTTGCACGCCTTCGGGTGAAGAAGGACGGAGCTCTGTGTTCCAGGATTTGGAGCTGTACACGGCGTGAACTTGAAACATGGCAGCCCTGTGCAAAGCAGGAGCACCCGCCGCGAGCGGTGGAGGTGTCGCACCCAGGGCAGCGCCTGAAAACGCAGCGCCGACGTGTTCTTGTGAGCGCATGGCAGGAGCAGTTGGAATCGGATTCTGGCGGGGAGGTATCGTCCTCACTGCAGAGCCGCGATGATGGCGACGCGTGCCTACATGAGCCCGTGGCAGGAAAAGTCAGCAGAGGTCTCGCCCCCCCAGGCAGCGCCTGAAACCTCGGCGGGAGCGTGCAATCATGACGTGTGTTCTTGTTGAGCCCGTGGCAGGAAAAGTCCTTGTATCAGAAGGCGCCCTTCCCAGGGTCTCGCACATCGCAGGTCCCAGCTCTTGCTTCGGTGTAGGCCAAGGGCTTCGTGGTGCCCAAGCTCGTGGCGCAATGCACACAGTCACGCTTGTGCCTGGAGCTCGGCGCCACGTCACATCCGTTTCTCTGCTCGCGGTTCGCTTCTTGTCTGAAAGGGACTGCTCTGGGCGAAGACTTGCCCCAGGCAGCCGCGGCCTTGGGTCGTTCGCCGGGCGGTCCATCTTAGGTCGACAAGGTTGAATGCGCCCATGTCTACACAGGTGTGACACAGGCCCTGAGGTGTTAACTTGAGACTCGCTGATTTCTGCTTCTCGAATGCGGAGCCATGTCAGATCCTGTAAGTCAAGTCCCATGCAAGCAGTGAGCAGCAAAGTGGCAATGCAAAGCCAAAGGTGCTGGAGGCAAGGGGGCTCTGAAGCTTCCAGGCACTTGGAGTACTAGGCAGTGTCAGGCCGACTTGCTCGTAAAAGAAGTGTCATCAGGGCACGACCATCTGTGATCACCTCGGGGCGGGCAGTACTGAGGGGCCTCTTCAGCTTCGCAGGCTTGCTTCCGAGGATATTGCGACGAACCGATGTCAAAACTGAACTCTAAACTTCCTAAACCCTAAACTTCCTAAACCCTATAAGCCCTATATGAAGCACCGGCGTGAGCTTTGCCTGGTCTTGGGTTCCTCTGTGGGGGCATCTTGCGGAAGGATCTTCACACATTTAGGGTTTAGGGTTTAGGGCTTAGGGTGATCGCATGTACCGTGCCCCATGTTCCCCACTGTGTGTGAAGTGTGTGGGCCAGGGGAACTGCTGAGCTCCCAATATGGCACGCTCACATGCCCATACCATACCAGAACTCACAGCAAGGGTTCGACAGAGTTGAACTGTGCAGCGGCGATCTGAAGTCTCGAAACTGTGCAGAGCCCAGATTCTGGCGATCGTGGCAATGGTCGTGTTCGAGCAGTACTCGGGGATGCTGCTGGTGAACCTGGTCGGAGCCTCGCGGGGAGGGGACATCTACCTGCATCAGGGTAAAGCTCGGGTTTGGTGCAGGTCATCTCCGGCGGCAAGATCGCCGCAGTCTTTATTTTGAGAGAGATCATCTGGCCGGCTGCTGAAGGTTTTCTTCTTGATTTTGGCGTTCATGTCGTCTGTCGGTGATGCCAGTGCATGTGACTCCCTGCGTGGATGTTTTGGATCGCTGCCCCCCCTTCACGGAGAAGCCGCCTTATCTTCACCCGAGGCAAAGCAAGCTCTACCGCGTTGATCCGGTGACTTGCGCCGCCTTTGTGGCTTGGGCCCCGGCCCGGCCCGGCCCGGCCTCGGAGCCCGGAAGAGGCGAAGCGCCCCGCGCCTTCCGAGGCGAGCCTCGACCAAAAGAGAAGCTGGGGCCCCGAGCATGTGGCACAGGGGACCTTGATGTCACTGAATGCACAAAAAGCGCAGCAAGGCGAGTATGCACTCGGCGTTGTCGCCAAGAGGGGCTTGGCGGACCACGTGGCCGCGCTGCTCAGCGCCGGCATCGACAAGGCTCGAAGCCTGGCGGGAACTTGAGGAAGTTTTTGCAAGCGCCGACGAGCGCGCTTCGAAGAAGGACCCGTTGCTCTCAAGAACGTCCGGAGGGAAGATTCGAGCTGCCTTGAGCCCTGCAGGCTCAGTTCGTCACAGCCGCGGCTGCGCAAATCCCAGCCCACGCAGCAAACAACAACCAACAACCGACACGGACTGCCTAGGAATGCTTGGTGTTGATGGCCTTGGGGGTGTCGGCGCGGCCGGGATCATCGGTCGCAGCTTGTTGCTTTTCTTGGGCGTTCTCTTGCTGATCCTTTGAACGGCACGGCAGTTTGCTTCGTTTGAAGCACTGATTACATGTACCGGATGGGCAAGCCGATGCCGCCTCCTCCTGCAGGCGAAGGAAAAAGAAGGAGCAACAACAGCTGATCACAGGCATTTCCGAACTCCCTGCAGACGCACCCAAGCCTCCTGAACCCCCGGCTCGGAGCTCTGAGTCCCCTGCCGGGGGGGGGGGAGCCTGAGCTCGAGCCTGCCAGGAGGCAAAGGACTACTACAATGGCCCGGAACCTGGAGCATGGTGCTTTGCAGAGCTGCTTTGGGGGGGGGGGGCGACGCTCGTTTTTCATAAGTTCGGACGGCGGGATCTCCTCCCCTTCTTTTGGTGGGTCCTTTTCCCGACTCCACCCGGTTCCCGGGAAAACGGAGGGGGTTGGAGGCCCTCGGAGCCTCCGCCCAGAGAGCCGAGGTCAAACGCCGCTCCACATGGCCGCAGACAAAGGCCACGCCGCGTGCGTGGAGCTGCTGCTGAAGGCCGGCGCGGAGAAGGCGCGAGTCATCGCGAGTCCCCCGCCACTCCCAGGGTGGCTTCGAGGGGGTGTCCAGGGGGGGCGTAAGTTTCACGGGCCAGGAGGGGTTTGGAAAGCAGGGTTTTCCATAGTATCCCATGCAGAGAATCCCGAGCCTTTTGGAAAACTCAGAATCGCAGTATTTTGCAGATTTCATGGGATGGCCTTTTGTCGAGGCGTCTTGCGCTCACTTCTGAGCCAAGCCCTGACTTACAACTCCCCACAAACCCTGAACTTTGCCAAACCTGCTGAACAGCCGTGGCCAGGACGTCCAGGAGAAGCTGTTTGGCCCGGGGCCCCAGCAGGGAAGCTGAGGCTGAGCGAATTTCTCTCCATCTCCCAAGCCCCGGATGCCCCATGCAGCGCAGTGCGAGCGGGCGGCTGTGTGCGAAGCATGGACCGCGCCGCAGCTGGCAACGCGGAACGACTCGAACACCCGATCTGCAAAATCCCTGTCAGCGCAGCCAAGAGCCTGGACTTTGATTCTTCGGTTCTTGAGCGGCTTATGGAGTATGCGAGGGGCTGCCACTGCAGTGATGTCTCGCCTCATGCAGGCCGCCCTCAAGTTTGTTGGACGTCCTTTTCCCGACTCCACCCGGTTCCCGGGAAAACGGAGGGGGTTGGAGGCCCTCGGAGCCTCCGCCCAGAGAGCCGAGGTCAAACGCCGCTCCACGAGGCCGCAATGTGGGGCCGCGCCGCGTGCGTGGAGCTGCTGCTGAAGGCGGGTGCGGACAAGGCGCGGGTCCCCCGGCCGCTCCC